ATGCAAGTGCATTGGAAGTTCAAATGGATTCAGTTCCAGTATGGTGATTCCCAGGTTCAATTGCAAGGCTTACTTCCTCCTTCAACTGAATCTCTATTATTGCAAGTTTGTTTTGTTGCTGTTGACAGTACTCAGCCTGAACTATTTGAATTGCCTGAAGACTTACAGTCTATTATTCAGCAGTACCAACACTTATTTGATCCACCTGTTGGCTTACCTCCTCCTAGAGCTTGTAATCACTTGATTCCATTAGTGCCTGGGTCTAAACCAGTTGCTATGAGACCTTATAGGTATCCACCTAAACTCAAGGATGAGATGGAAAAGCAAGTAGCTAATATGCTTGAACAAGGGATCATTCAGCCTAGTGCAAGTTCATTTTCATCACCAGTGTTGTTGGTCCCTAAAAAGGATGGAGGATATAGGTTTTGTGTGGACTATAGGCAGTTAAATTCTATTACCTTGAAGTCCAAATTTCCAGTACCTATCTTTGATTAGTTAATGGATGAATTGGCTCATGCAAAATGGTTTTCTACTTTGGATTTGAGAGCTAGATTTCATCAGATTCTATTACAAATGGGTGAAGAACATAAGACTGCATTTCAAACTCACCTTGGTTAGTATGAGTTCAGAGTGATGGCATTTGGGCTTACAGGAGCTCTAGGCACATTTCAAGGGGCTATGAACTGTACCCTAGCACCAGGGTTGAGGAAGTTTGTCCTGGTATTTTTTGATGATATTTTGGTGTATAGCAGGACCTATGAGGAGCATCTGTCACATCTGCAATAGGTGTTTACATGGCTCCAGTAGGACCACTAGCATTTGAAACTCAGTAAATGTAAGTTTGCCAAGCAGTCTATTACATATCTTGGACATGTGGTCAGTGTAGCTAGAGTCTCTACTGATCCAAGCAAGGTTCAAGTTATTCAAGATTGGCCCATGCCTAAGATAGTTAAGGAAGTCAGAGGGTTCCTAGGATTGGCTAGGTACTACAGGAAGTATGTCAGGCATTTTGGTATAATTGCCAAACCTCTGACTCAGTTGCTCTGCAAGGATGCACCATTTGAGTGGATAGAAGTACACACTGCTGCCTTTCAGTCACTCAAGCAAGCATTGTCTATTGCTCCTTGTTTAGCCTTGCCAGATTTCACTGTTCCCTTTCATATTGAAACTGATGCTTGTGCAACTGGTATAGGTGTTGTTCTGACTCAGAATGGTCACCCTCTTGCTTATGTCAGTAAAGCATTAGGGGTCCAAAATCAGTGCCTTAACTTATGAAAAGGAATACTTGGCTATACTTATTGATGTTGATCAGTGGCATCCCTATTTTCTTCAGGGTGAGTTTGTAATCCACACTGATCAGCAGAGCCTCATTCACCTCAATGAACAACGTTTGCATACAACTTGGCAACAGAAAGTCTTGACAAAACTTCTGGGCTTGGATTATAAGATTGTCTATAAGAGAGGTGTTGATAACAGTGCTGCTGACGCTTTATAAAGGAAACCAATGATCAAACAGTTGTTAGATCTATCCTCTGTCACTCCACAATGGCTTAAAGATATTGTTGCTGGATACCAGTCTTATCTAAGCTTGCTGTTGCTAGTGCTTCAGATTCCCATTTTAGTCTTCTCAATGGGTTGATTCGTTACAATGATAAGATATGGATTGGTACTCATGTGCAGTTGCAAAAAAGGGTGTTCTCTGCATTACACTCTAGTGCCATTGGGGTCACTCAGGAGCTCCAGCTACATATCATCAAATTTGTCAACTGTTTTATTGGCCATCAATGAAATCAGACATTACACAGTGGGTGCAATCTTGTAGAATCTGTCAGCAAGCTAAGTTAGACAGAGCCAAATACCCAGGCCTTCTTCAGCCATTACCAGTACCGACATCGGCATGGACAGTTATTTCTATGGATTTTGTCGAAGGGCTTCCCCAGTCAGGTACTACGAATGCTATATTAGTGGTCATCGATAAATTCTCGAAGTTTGGTCATTTCATTGCACTCTGGCATCCCTTTACTGCTGCCACTGTGGCCAAATTATTCTTGGATAATGTCTATCGTTTGCATGGGCTGCCACAAGCTATAGTGTCTGATCGAGACTGAGTCTTTACAAGTCACTTTTGGCAGTCCTTGTTCAAGATTGCTGGTGTGGATCTTCGTATGAGTACGGTGTATCACCCTCAAACCGATGGCCAAACTGAGTGGCTTAATCAATGCCTTGAGACATATTTGAGATGCTTTGTGCATGCTTGCCCAAATAAGTGGATTCACTGGCTTTCTTTGGCTAAGTACTGGTATAACACCAGTTTCCATTTTGTCCTGGGCCGCACTCCATTTATTGTCCTATATGGTTATGAGCCTCGACATTTTAGGTTTTCTCTGGATTCACCTGACACCCCAGTGTCGGCTCTGTCTGAATGGCTATCAGAGAGGCATCTGATGCAGAATCTTGTGCAACAGCATTTGACTCATGCCCAGCAACCAGGGCCGTCCTTGGGGGCGTGCAGCCTGTGCGACCGCGCAAGGCCTCCAAATATATAGTTCATTACCCATATAGGTAAGTAGTAAGCACAGTCTCTAGAGGAGTCATTTAGAACCAGTTATTTTATACCTATTGTTGATCAAGCTATTGTCTCTCTTACAACGAGATTTGAGCAGTACCAAGATTACCAAAAAAAATTTGGTTTCTTATTTACTTCGGAAACATTGCAGTCATTGGATAACTAGAGCTTAAAGTCTTCTTGTGATAATCTTGAGGCTGTCCTTAAATAGGATGAAAAATCTGATCTTGATGCCAAAGAACTCTTTATGGAGTTGAAGTTTGTACGAGAATTCATTCCAAAAGAAAAAATGGGACCTATTGAAATTATGCGGTTTTTAAAGGAGCATGGTTGTTTTCCCAATGCAACTATTGCATATAGAGTTCTATTGACCATTCCTGTGACTGTTGCAACAGCGGAGCGAAGCTTTTCTAAATTGAAGCTATTGAAGACCTATTTGCATTCTACAATGACACAAGAAAGACTTAATGATTTGGCTATAATAGCACTTGATAGCGAAATGTTGGAGAAGATTGATTATGAGCATATCATTGAAGATTTCATTTCAAAGAACACTAAAAGAATGATGCTATTCAAGTAAAGATTATACAACATAGGTACCATTCTTGACATATCTTATTGCAATGTAATATATTATATGGTACATCTTATTTTAATCCTATTTTTCTCAAGCTAGTAGGCCTCATTTTTTAGTTTCGTACAAGGCCTCGGATTTCCCCGGGACGGCCCTGCCAGCAATGTATGAAAAGACAATCGGATAAGTCACGGTCAGAGCACCAGTTCAAGGTTGGTGATTGGGTGTTTCTCAAGTTACAACCGTATGTTCAGTCCTCTCTGACAGTTCGTTCGAATCAGAAGTTGGCATTCCGATTTTTTGGGCCATACCGAGTCCTTGCTCGTATTGGTGCAGTTGCTTATCGTCTAGCACTCCCGGCTACATCAGCTATTCACCCAGTATTCCATGTGTCCCAGCTGAAGGCGTCACACGGTACTGAAACTGTTACTGCATCATTGCCTAACTCTGCTATAGAATTCCAGGTTCCTCAGGAAGTGCTACAGCGCCGCTAGACTTCTGGCGCCCGTCCTATTGAACAGGTTCTCATTCGTTGGTCTCGTATGCCTGCATCTCTTGCTACATGGGAGAATCTGGAGCAGCTGCGGCAGCAGTTTCCGCGCGCTCCGGCATGGGGACATGCCGGCTCTCAAGGGAGGGTGAATGTCAGCACTGTCCCTCATACTGAACCTGATCCGACAACAGAGCATGCGGGAGAAGAAGAGGCTGGGCCTAGCAAGTGGGAGCCCAAAGAGTCCAGGAAGAGAAGGCCCAATACGCTCGTCATCGGCCCAACCTGGAAGAACTAGATGCTGTAGTACTTAAGGGAGAAGAGGGGAAGAGAATCGTTATGAAATTGGTAAACCATAACTAAATTCTGTTAAGCACTCATCCTGTCTATCTCATGCTGTTCCTCTATTTCAATCCCCAAATTCCTGCTTCCCTCCTATATTCCGCTAACAAATCACTAGTACTAGTACTAGAATAATATGTTTCGTTGAAACTTGGACCCGAAAGGGCAGTTCTCTCAGTGAAATCCCCTTACTCAGCTTTAATTCAAATACAGGTTCCCAATTTAAACAAAATGGTTTCGAGGTTAAAGGCTCTACTGAAGATTAAATTTTTTCTTTGGTATCTTCGTAGAGGAGTGATTCTAACAAAAGGTTACTTAGCCAAACGTAATTGGCAAGGTAGTGAAAGGTGCTGCTTTGTCACAAAAATGAGACAATTAAGCACTTGTTCTTTCGATGTCATTTTGCCCAGGTACGGTTTGGAGCTGCATACATATTGATTTAAGCCTTTGCCAACCTTGTAGTATTTCTCATATGTTTGGACGTTGGCTTCAGGGGTTGGGAGGGACGTAAAACCTTTAGTTCTGCTTGGGGCGGCAGCTACATGTTAATCGTTTTGTTTATGCAGAAATGATTTGGTATTTGAAAAGAAACTTGTTTATTCTCCTTTTCAAGGCACATTAGTTTATTCATTGGCTCTATACTTGGCTTATCCTTCATAAGCTTTGGCTTTGGTTATAACGGCATTGCAACAATTAGCGCAAGCGGTCAAAGCGTTCATGGTATTTTTCTTCTATGTATGTGGGTAGCGATCTAGTCTTAGTATTAATAGTCATTAAAGTGCTAGGCTCTCCTTTATCTTTGTTTATGCTGTGATTTTATAGAGAGGCGGGAAGTGGCTCCACCAATTTTATATCAACTCAGTGCAATGATTATGAATTAATAAAAGCCTTCTTTTATATTAAAAAAAGGCTAGCTCTCTGTGTTTAAAACAAGTCCTTAGCTCTCGCGGTGTGGCTCGCACAAGGTCATTCCTTCCTCCAGGCTCCCTAGCTGCAGCAGACGCCCCCCCAGCCACGGCGACGTCATCATGTCCGTCGCCCCGTCCTACGACCGCACCGAAGAGCTCCGCGCGCTGGACGCAACCCTCGCCGGCGTCCGCGGCCTTGTTGCTTCTGGCGCGAAGCAGGTGCCTCGCATCTTCCGCGTTCCCTCCCCTGAGGAGCCACTCCAGCAGGCCCAACAACCGCCAGCGGCGGCGACCGTCCCGGTGATCGACCTCAGCGGCGACCACGCAGCCGTGGTGGACGCGGTCCGCGGGGCGGCAGGGGAGTGGGGGTTCTTCCAAGTTACAGGCCACGGGGTGCCCGAGCAGGTGTCAGCAGCGGTGGCGGCGATGCGGGCGTTCCACGAAGCCGACGCCGGGGAGGGGCTCTACTCGCGGGAGCCCGGGAAGGCGGTGAAGTACCACTGCAACTTCGATCTGTACCAGTCGGCCGTGGCCAACTGGCGCGACTCGCTCTACCTGCGCATGGCACCCGACCCTCCCGCCGCCGACGAGCTGCTGGACATCTCCCGGTGAGCATCCTCTCAATTACTCTATTGATTGTCCGCCTATACTTCCCTAGTTCCCTCTCCGGCCATACCCTGCCGGCGGTGCGTACCCAAGGGCCAAGGCAGGGTTGCGATTTGCCAATCATGCATCTGGCTTTAAAATATTGTTAGGTATAGGAGCGATTGATAAAATGAGCATGATTGGCCACCTCTCTCTCTCTCTCTCTCTCTCTCTCTCTCTCTATATATATATATATATATATATATATATATATATATATATATATATATATATATATAATAATAATAATAATAATAATAAAAAATTTGGCCCTTATGGCCTGATGTCGAAGGTACAACATTAATTTCGGGTTTTACATGAACAACTGAGCTCAAAAGCTCTTTGTAGCATGCAGCGTGCTAATTCACATATTGTTAACCTGACTAACACCGTTTTGTTGCTCCATGGCTGCTGTGAAGATCGAGCACCGGAGGCAGTATTCCTTGCATAGTTTGAAATATCGGGCTAACGTGTTGAGCGATATACCTCTAAATTAGTTAATAGCGGAGCCGGTGACGGAGGAAGAAATAAAATTAAGGTGTGGCGAAGTAGGATGATATTTTTTAAACAAAGTAGTATATATGCATATGCCATATAAAATGTTTCTAATTGTAATATGCATCTTTCTTCTGTTTGACATTGGCCATCCCCTACCATCTCCCATCCATCTTTACTTTTACCGTTCATCTTAATTCCTAAATTATCTAACCAATTAATGAAGATGAGATATAGTAAAGAAGTCGTCAACGGCAATGAGATATACAGTACCTCATAGGCTTATATACTAGAAAAACAGGGTGTGTAGTTGTGCAGACCGCAGGCAAGCCATGGGTTAAGCTTAATATCTATCCTCTGCCTTCTCCAACTGCCGTTCGATTTCTCAGCAAGTCTGTTCGTTTGCGCGGATGCCGAGCAGAGAAGGAACAAGCGACTGGCCCCCGTCGTATTTCAAGGGGCTATCTACGCCAAAATCAAGGTATGGCGAGGACCATACCTCGCCATATCGGAAGCTTCGCCCCTGAGCGGAGCTAAATCAAGCTATAGCGGGATATAGTGGCTAAATTATACATGAACACAAATAGCGATACCCTGTCTTGAAAGGCTATAGCAGACTATAGCAGCAACTATAGCAGGAGATTTAAAACATTGATTCCTTGTTTGAGCCGGAAGTCTATGACTCCAAAATTGAGCTTCATTGTTGCATTCACTAAAGAAGTGTCTGATTGTTGTCGCTTGTCTTTGGAAGCTAGACTAGATCATTTTTTCTCTTCCAAAGTAGCTGGCAGCAGAGTGCGACAAAGGCATCAAAGTGAACTATAGGGATATGCCCGGGTCGGACAAGGTTTGTGTAGCATGTGCTTAATATAATAGTAATAAATTGAGCAATAGGAACGGAATGGGTACTAAACTACACTGGGAAACATATTCGTTTTGATATGCAAGCAAATTAAATAGGAATTAAGAAAGTAGAAACTTTAGCACTACTTTTCGTCATCAAGAAGACCACATACTTCTCTCAAGAAGAAGACTACATATACTCATATATAGTAATATAACAATTTTGTTTTATAGCTTTGATACGCGGATAGTACCAAACACACATCACACCGATGCTAGTATATAATAACATACTCGTCATATACTTGTCGAATAAATATAGACTATTTTCTAACTGTTAAATAATAATAAAATAATTGGCCTCGCTTGAAACACATGAACTTTTATCGGTTTCTATATGTTTATGTGAAACATTTATACGATTCCTATAAATTTTATGCCTTTGTTGTAATAATGGATGGTTGTATGCAAAACTCTTGCAGAGGCCGGAATATAATTTATTCCTTTTCCTAGAAAATAAAATTGATGTGTTATAGATGATCCTTTTTGACACTTCAAAATTGTATCTCTTACTGCCCTATTAAAAACCCTCTCTACATTATGTTAAAAAAACACTCTATATAAGGGACTGTTTAGGAGAGATACAGCAGCTCTAGATCCATGAAAAAACATCTCTAGATTCACTTTTCTAAGCCAAACACTTTTAGCTCCACCAATTCGAGATAAAAAAACATGGATCTCACTCAAGATCCTATGGATTTTGTAGAGCACGTCAAGGGTGGTTCTAAAAACTCTTGGACACCTGGAGTTAACAAAAATACTCATCATACCACTGATTACACAAAAATAACGGTTTGTTCTTCTCTTTTCTTTCCTGTAACCTCTCCTTCGCAACCAGACACTGTCGCGCAGCCCTCCTCTTTATGGCCCTAACGCCGCCCGGCCTTCCCCATCGGCGCCGGTGGCTCTCGTCCCCACCCGCTTGTTCCTCCCCTCCGCGTGGCCCGATGCCGGCACCACCCCACCGGCACCCTCGGTGCCGCCTGACCTTTCCCACCGACGCCAGCGGCTCCAGTCCCCGGCCACGCCACAACGACCACCTCGCTACGGGCAGGCCACTGCGCTCAGGTGTGCCACCAAACGCTGGTCAGGGGACGTTGAGCTCCCAATCATGAGTTGCAATTGGCTGGCTATTAGGCCGGCCCAGTAGATCCACCGTGGAGCTCTCCAGAACATGTTTCTGGGCACTAGTAGGATCCGATATCTACGATAGAGCTTCTCTACCGTGGATCTAGTACTCCAGATTTTAAAACTAGACCTAGATGCTAGAGCTCTTCCAACCCTGTGCTCGGGGGGGTGCGGGGGGCGGAGCCCTCCGCGGTACGGTACGGTATATACACCTTTACTAGGGTTTCGTGGAGACTTGATTCTCTTGTAAGCCGCCATAGGCGTGTAATCCAAAACTCTTGAGATAGTGAGATTGTTGCTGGCTGGTGCCCGTGGTTTTTCCCCTTCACATCAGAGGGGTTTTCCACGTTAAATCGTGTGTCTCCTCTATGGTTTGATTCTTTACTTCATATTCCTATACGTCGTTCATAACAGGGCTCAAACCGAGCTACTTGACAGATATAGAATGCAACCAGGGACAGATTTTAGTTGGGCAGTACTACCCACCATGCCCCCAGCCTGAAGTCGCCATTGGGATAAGCCGGCATTCAGACTCCGGCTTCCTGACGATACTACTCCAGGATGAAGTTGGCGGCCTTCAGATCCTCCACGAGGACCAGTGGGTCGATGTTACACCGACACCTGGAGCATTCATCGTCAACATAGGCGATCTCCTGCAGGTAATAAGAAAAGATCATCAAATCATCGTCAATTGAGCACACACTGGAATACATTTTGAGTGTTTCTGACTGATTTTTCTCCGTTGATTGGCATCTGCAGTTGATCTCTAACGACAAGTTTAGCAGCGTCGATCATAGAGTGGTGGCAAACAATGCTGGACCAAGAGTTTCTATCGCGTTCTTTTTCACCACTGGTTTCCATCCAGCTTCGACAAGAATGTACGGCCCAATCAAGGAGCTGCTGTCCGAGGAGAACCCTCATTTGTACAAGGAAACCCTCGTCAGAGAGTATTTTGCACGTTACAACTCTGTTGGCTTGGATGGCAAGCAGAAGACTGCTCTAGCTGATTTCAGGTTGTGAATTCTGAACGAGAAGATTACCTTTTATTTACCAGCAAGATGCAAATGTTGGGACAATCTGTATCGTGTAATAATACCAAAGAGAAGATTAATAACTGCTCGATCGCCACAACAGAAGTACACATGTTTGTATAATAAGTCTGAATTGAGTTTGGAGTCTGGACGTATATTTCTGTAACACATAACAAGATGTTTCTTCTATGCCCTTGAGCGTGTACTGCATTTCTTTTTCAGTTCCCATATTCGTTCCGTTTATTTTGAACTTGTCATTCATATTAGTCCACTCATATTCATGAACATTTTGAATAGGCTCAAAATCTATTTTGACTGATGAACAGATATGCAGAAACTGCTCTGATTCCAATCCACGTACAAGTACAACCACTCGATGCCTTCAGCTCCTCAAGCAAAAGGTATGCCTGAACCTGAAGAGGCCATTAGTATAGCATCACATGGAAATTTCTCTTCTACCTATTCGCTTACATTTCGTGGCATTGTTCTCAGTCAAGCAGCTGCTACTCTACGCTACCAAAAAAACCAAAGAGGGCTCACAGGAGAGGTGATGTCTCTGTCCTTTTTGCAAGCACATTATTTCAGAAATCTCGGTCAACTAATAGTGATTGTAATTACGCAATGGATGCCCGATCGAATCACTATACTAGACCAAATTCTGCGTTCCATCGAGAACGAGGATTGGGCTGCGAACGGAGTACTTGCCGGAGACCCACCGGAGTCTTCCTTCCGCGGTGCCTCTGCTGAACCTCACCCTGAAGTCCATCTTCTGGTTCACGGAGCCGAACTCCAGCCTCGGTGGCACCACCTCACGGCGACGCTTGGCGGTGCCACGACCTCCGCCGTGTAGGCCGAGACAGCCTCCCCGACGTTGGTCACCGTGCGCCTCACCTCGACCACCGGCGCCGCCGCCGTGAGCGTCACGAGGAACGACGGGTAGTTGAGGTCCTTGCCCTCGACCTTGCTAACCGTCGCGCAGCTCACGTTCCGCAACGGCTGCGCGATGATTTCGTTGACGAAGGTGTCGTTGTACCCGAGCCCGCAGATGTAGGGTATGTAGTCCAGCCCCGAGAGGTCGTAGAGGAGGCCCGGGTCAAGCGCCTTGGTCGGGTTCACGATGCCGGAGCCCATGAGGAGGTGTCCCGCCGGCTTGCCGGTGATCTCATCGGTGATGGGCGTGCCGTCCGGGTGCGTCACGTCGGCGGTCGTCATCATCGCCGACTTGATCGCGGACGGCGACCACAATGGGCGTGCTCGCTTCAGCACGGCTGCGATCCCCGAGAGGTGCGGCGCGGCCATGGATGTGCCGCTCATCAAGCCGAAGGTGCGGGTGGGCGCGCTGCCGTTCCCGCCGCCGGCGCCCGGGATGGCCGCGATTATGTTTGTCCCGGGCCCGGTGATGTCGGGCTTGATCACGCCGAGGTTTGACATGTTGCAGGGGCCTCGTGAGGAGTAAATGGCGATGGCCGGCTGATAGGAAGGGTCCATCGTAACGCCGATGAAGTGGAGGCTGGCTGTGGGGTTCGTCGTGGAGTTGATGTACGACATGATCTTCTCGCCGTCGTCCTGGCTGACGCGCGCCACCGCGATGGACACGTTTCCCCCGAAACTCGTCACGCCGCCCTCGGACGCGTCGTTGAAAAAGATGATGCCCACGCCGCCGGCAGCGCGGACCTTCTCGCCGCGCAATGTGGTGGTTTCCGAGCGGTCGCAGAAGACGACCTTTCCGCGGACGTCGACGGCGTTGAGCGAGCCGTTTTCGAACACGCCTTGGATGTAGATGAGCGGCGCTGGCTTGAGGGCTCTGTACCTCTTGTTCGCCTCGCCTAGTCGCCTTGGATCACCAGCCCATTGCCGAGCCTGGTCCTGGAGACGACGCGCCGGGTCATGGTGCTCGCCGCCACGGTGAGCACCCAAGGCGCGCAGTTGGTGACGGTCCCGTAGTACGGGCCTTGGTTTCCGGCGGTCGTGCTCACGAACACGCCCGACGTGACGGTGGAGAAGCTGCCGACGGCGGTGAGGTCCTGGTAGAAGGGCTTCTGCGTGTCGTCTCCGCCTCTCCGGCGGAGATGGAGATCACGTCTACGCTGTCCATGAACGCGCCCTGCTCGATGGCGATGAGCTGCTTCGTCGACGGGCACGTGTCCTCGAAGCACACCTCGTAGAACGCCAGGTGCGCGCGTGGCGCCATGCCGGAGGCCGCGCCGACTTTGGTCCTGAACATCTTGACATCGCCGACGAAGGCGCCCACGGCGGTGCTGGACGTGTGCGTGCCGTGCTCCCCCGGCGTCAGCGACTGCCCACCGATGAGCTTCTTGTTGCACGGAGCGCCACCGAACTCGCACCTGCCTCGCCACTTAGCCGGCGGCGGCGGCATGCCCTCAACCCGAGCAGCGTCGGCGTGTACGTCGTCCGCAGCCGGTAGTTGACGTCCGGGATCGCGTCGACGCACAAATGGAGCTTGCGCAGCGCGTCCACCTCCGGCACCGTCAGCCGCGCGGCGAAGCCGCTGACGACGTGCTGGTACGAGTAGACGAGCTGTCCGCCCTCCGGCGTCCGTGCCTCTTCGAGGACCGTCGCGGTGCTGGTGTTCAGGAGGGAGGCAAGCAGCGAGGCGTGCCATTCGCGCAGCTTCTCGCCGTTCTCCTTGGGCCCATTGGCTCGGCAGACGACCACCAGGTACGTCCCCACGGCGTCCCCAGCGGCAGCGGTGGTGGCAATGTCCCCGGCGGAGGCCGCTGGGGAGAGAAAGATGGCGACGGTTGTGGTGGCGAGGACGAATATGAGAGATGGAGTTAGGATGGTGGGCATGACGGCGATCCGGGCAACGATCTATCTGCACATTGATCTGCAGGAAATTCAAGGAAGGGGAAGCGAGAACGTAAGCTGGATTTCGGTTTTGACAGCGTGCTTTAAGGCCATCAATCAGGTCATGGCCCGCCACGAACTTACGTTTTAGAGCTGCAAAGCAGAGCATTGCGGGTGGTGGCTCCCTACTTTTAGAGCAAATTGGAAATTGCCGGGCGACTGAAACACTGGAGGCTGGAGCTTATGGGGATTTGGGCGCGCCGATAGCTATTCTGTGCAGGCATGCCCGAAAACCAGTGGTCAGTCGCGGGAGAACCGACCGCTAGCCGGCAAGGCAAAAGCTTTTTGTCCTAAAAGGGTCTAGGGCCATTTGCTTAGGTTAAAGACCTATTTGATACAACTTCGGCTCGCATTGCTTAGGTTAAGCGAACCGAGCAAGAGACTAGGTTGGCTGGGCACGCTAGGTGGAGCTCACCACGGGTTTTTCCGCGGGAGATTTTTCCTAGTTTTCTTTGGAGTCTCAAGCGCGGTGTCGTGCCTTTAGCACCTGGAGTATGTTGAACTTAATTGGCTCTGAGTCACATGTGTGTATGAGTTTATGCTTAAATTTAGATACTATAGCTTGTACTTAAAGTATTGAGACAAAAAATTTCTTATTCATAAAATGCATGAAGTGTCCATAATACCTTTCTAGTTTGTCTTTTTCTGTTTTTTCTCTACTGGTGTACCACTTTCTCTCTCTTCTTCTTTCTTATCTCTCCGTTTGCTCACTCACATAGTTGCTCCTTCATGTCCTGTTGCCCATGCCCATCTTCCCGCTCATATTGCCATCTACTTCACCTTTGTCCTAGGGCCTGCTATTCTTGCCACTCTCTTCCTTCACCGTGGGCGTTCGGTCCCATCGGTTTCGTGCCCACAACCTTATTAGGCAGGGAGGGCTGAAAGTTCATCTTCAACCCCTAGCCTCTTCTCCTCCAAGCAGCCATGGAATTTTTTTTGAAGGGGCTCTAGGAGAGGATCCATGGGATCAGCGGCGGCCCTCCCCTCCTCCCCCACTTATCTCTAGATCCGTCCACGTCCTCCATCTTCGTGGTTAGCTCCTCTTAGTTTGATTGCGAGTGGAGTCGGGTAAAGGGACCCAATGAGCTGGCATGGAGGGGCTCAAGGAGCACTACCAAACACATTCTAAATGAAAGATGTCGTCACTATAGCGAGAAAAATGACGTGGGTCACCCGTGTGAAGAAACATCCTATAACACCCTCGGTGTTACATTGTACAGTTCTTGCTAAAACACTGCATGAACATCATACTTGTTTGTACATGGGTGTAATATAAGGTATAAATCAACGTACAACACTTGAAACGTTCATCTGAAACAAGAAACAAATGTTACATTTTATGTCGCTTTATATCGTTTAGTATTCTAAGTGAATTTTTATCGAACAAAAATGCTATAGGACGCTTATGCGAAACTTTGATAAAGTTCGTAGCACGAACTTCGTAGGCGACGATGAAATATGTGTGGTTGAAGACGGGGTTCGCTAGCTAGTATATCAAGTAGCTTGGAAAAGGAATTCGACGCGAAACCGTTTGAAGCTTAGTCGTTTCGCGTAAGTCTGAAAATGGGTCGACGAAGCCATGTTCGGCAATTTTTGTAGAACGATCGGGTTAAGAAATGGCGAGGTGTCTTGGCTTAGTTCGATAGCCCTATGTACCCGCTTGAGGATAGAATGACTGGTTTGGCTTTCGGATCATCGATTTGGTTGTTGTTGCAGCTTTAAAAAGCGTGCATGACACGTTTTCCACCTCCGGGCGCGGTCACCGCCTCTGTTCGGCCTGACACCGCTACTCTGGCTTGCCCAGCGCGCGTTGTCGCACTGGCCGCGTCGCCACCGCCGTGCCTATGAAAGCACGTCCGCGCGCGTGGCCCCCGCGTTGCTGGCCACGGCCTGCTGCCGCCACGCTCTGGCGCCGCTCGCGCACGCCGCACGCGCCCAGTCGCGCTGCCCGCCCGTCGTCGCCGCGCGCTGGCCGCTCGACCTTCACTGCCGCCCGGTCCACACCGCTATTGCGTGCCTGGCTCGTGACTCGCGCGCACTGGGGTACAGCGGCCTGGATGCTCTACCTCCTCCATCACGTCTGCCTACGTCACTACCGCCGTCGCGTTTGTCTGCGTGCTCGGCTCGTCCGAACCGGTGTCACCGCTCGCCCAAGCGGGCTCACGCGCACCGCCTGCACAACCACTGCTCCTATTGACGTTGCGGCTGCACACGCATGGGTTGGCCCCGCTGGCCCTCGTCTTCACGGTTGCACGCGTGGACATGCCACGTTTTCTTGTTGCATCGTCTGGAGAGTCGCCGGCCAGCAGTGCCATGCCAAGGCCTAACTCACTGAGCCGGTCCCCTCTTGCATTTGCCCATGTTTGGAGGACGAGTGGGAGTACAGTGTCGGGCCTCACTTGCCCTGGGCGGTAGTACGTTGTTGGGCGCCAATTTAAGCTTTCACCATCGCCGTCGTCACCATTAAGCCGAACGCCGTCGCTCTCAAATTGGTCGTGTGCAGTCCATCCCTTTCCAATTCACCGTGCATCCAAATAGCTTGAGTAGTTAGGTTCCAATTGGAGTCATCCCTACGGGCTTCCTACGGTGAGGTAATGGGGAGAGTTTTCCCCTCGGCGGTCCGCCCTGGCCGGCGAGATGAGTTCACGGCCCAGGGCGATGAACCTTGCTCTTGTGTCTAATTTGAGCAGGGTTGTTGCCTCTCCTTAACCCGTTTGCCTCGCCCGTGCAGTGGCTCCGCCGACGGAGCAGCAGGACGCCGGGAATGTCTTCACCATGGCCGGCGTGAACCAGAGCAACCTCGCGCACGTGGCCAGCTCGTTGCTGTTCCTTGCGACTTCGCCCAGCCCATCTGCCGCATCTCTGGTGAGGTCCTCTTGCTCCTAGGATAGGCGGTTGAGCCAATTAGTGGCTAGGTTGCCCGAAGTGCGTTGGCGGCCGCCAGCGAGCTGGCTTAGATGTCGTTCCTGTGGCCAGCTCGGTTGGGCGCAGTAGTGATTCAATTAGGGCTTCAAGGTGGTTACTCTTAGCCTATAGATGGTTACCGAGTAGCAGTAGAGGCATACGGTTTGGTGGTTTCGCCGGCGTTGAGCTACCGCGGCCAGACCCTGCCGCGGCACGTGGCCTCGCCTGCGTGGTGCGCCATTCTTGGCATTTGTTACCTCAATCCGTTGTGCATGGCACGTAGAAGCTCATGGGGGTGCTGGTGAGTGCCGGAGAGGTCTGTGCTCGCTGACGTTTTGTCGGCGAGGCCGTGGCCCTGTTAGTCTAGCCAGGGGCTTCGTAAAACATGAATTCGAATAGAAGTAGGGTCCTAGATGCGAAGCCAATGACTCATTTAAATAGTGCTCAGGTTAGTCTCGCGAATAGGGTTAAGAACGGGGGCTTCTTCGCTAAATCGCCAGCCGCGCGTGGGCTCCGCTGTGGGCCGCGTATTGTGGGCCACGTCGCGCGCCACTGAGTGGGCCGTGTCGATTGCTGCGCATGCGCGTGGGCGGGACGCGGGGTGGGACGAGCCGCCACTCACGGGCCGCGCGGTAGAATTCATGTTTCAATTATCCAGTGAATTCCAAACGTTTATTCAATATAATTTCTAGCTAAACTTTGATAAATTGTAGTAAATTGTGTAGTTGTTCAAAAATAGTGAAACCAATTTTGTTAGGTTCACAAAAATACTATCCACCTGTTAGTGTATTTAGATTATAGTTAGCTATGACAATGGTAGGTTCATAAATTCCAACTAGAAAAGCTTAGTATTATGTAGATTAATAATTATAGGAATTTTTGTGGTAAATTGGTGATAGCAATAGCTATAAAAATTTTACAGTAGGCTCACTAGATTATTATGTACTTGTTGTAAATTTTGTAGCCTTAGAGTAGGTTAATAAATAGAGTAGCTATTATCCCTGCTTTATCATATGTAGCGTAAATCAGCATTAGGAGTAAGAATACCGGTAGTTGCTATAATAATGTATGCCATACTTCATACTTATTATTGGTAACAATAGATAACTTAGTACCGTGGTCGGTAGCACTAGTTTAGTAGTTAGACAGATGTACTTTATTTTAAGAGTTGTTGTTGCTATATTACTAAGTATTGTATCATCATCTCATGCATGTAGATCACGAGTTGGTAGAGTTCGTGCCCGTCAACGAACAGGAGTACGAGGAAGTCATCGAGGAGTATGAGGAGGAGATCCTCGTGTAGGAGGGAGGCCCGGAGCCTTTTGGTGCTGACTTTGCTGACCCGTCGCCTGCCTAAGGCAAGCCGCGGTGCATAACCCCTGTTTTATGATAACTGAATATATATATATATAATGTGCATTTAAGTTATAGGCATTTTATTGAAACTACATGCATAAATATATCTACCCATGAGTCATACTAGTATATGTCGAGTAGTTGCTATGCTCAGGATACCGGTAGCGTGAGTAACCTACCGTTACTTGCAATTAGGTGATAAATATGATCACTCATGATAAAATTGTGGAAAAGAAAATGTTGTCCGAGCAGGGATATGGTTTGGGTACTGGTGGGTGTAAGGGGTTGTGTCCTACGGCCAACAGGGCATAGCTCGGTTACACTTTTTCCCTATCTGTGTCAGTTAAGGACCGTTCGTTGCAACGGACTCTAGGCAAGTCACAGATCTATTGTCCCGAGCACATACTTGGGTATAGGCGTAGGGAAGACTTGTTGCTCTCTTGTCGTGTATCCGGCTCTTTCTGGACTGACTGATTGGAGGCGGGGATGGTGGAGGTCCTTGCACCGCACTGAGTCCAGGACTCAGGAGTGGGGGCTTAGAGTTCAAGTTTGGATGGGGACCTGGACACCCAAGACAGGAGGGTGATGGGTTAGTCCTGCTTGTGCCTGGGGTACAAGCGGGGTGTGTGTTTTTGGGGCTCCTAGCTGGGCATATTGGTTCGCGAATCGCCACCGAGTCGGTA